TTTACACACACACACACCAATTGATTAAGTAATTATATTTTAAGATGGCGTAAAGTAGTTTGCGTGTGCCAAACGGGTAACGTCAGGAATACAAAAGTAAAGGGGGTTACAGCGTATTAACCTTGTTTTTTTTTATATATTTAAAGGCAATTTAACTAGTAAGAGAGTGAGGAGAAAAGTAAATCGAGAAAGATAAATGCCCAGAGTGATGGCAAACTGCAATTGTCAATCGGCCAATAACGAAAAAGTGTAATGTTACCCATGTATCCATTTTTCATATTGGGTAATTGCGCGGTCGATGGAGTGCGGCGTGCCACAGCTTCTCTTACATTGTCGAGTTAAAATATAACAACACCTAAGTGGGAAAAGGATCGATCGATAACTTTTCTACCAGTCACGAATTAGCCTTCTGCCATAATTCCAAGTACTTAAAAAAAGGTAAAAAAGAAAATTTTCTTCACACAAATCACAATACAAAACCTTCTACTACATTCAATTTAAAAAAAAAAGGGTGGGAAGGAGGAAAGTGAGGGTGTAAGATAAGAATCGGTGGTACATTAAGAAAGGGGCGATGCAATAGGAATTTAGAAAAATCTGATAGATTCGATGCCCGGAAACGTGAAGAATAATTGATACAGTAACCTCTCTCTATACGAGAAAATTCACACTTCTATGTGTTGGGTGAGATTAAAAGATTCTTTATAGTGTTATCGAACTGGACAAAGTGACTTGAAATCCGATCGAAATTACGTATTTGAAAACATTAGATAGCAATTTTTGACTTTAACTTCAAGATATTTTTCGATTATTGTTTATGAGTGGTAATAAATCACACGGTAAATCGATAGTAGTTCCTATTCTTTTGTTTTATACTTGATATAACTCACTGTATTTCCTTCTACGCCTATATTATATTCGATTACAGTTCACTCGGCGACTATTAACAATAAAAACACAATGGATTTTTGTTAACCGATGTATTCGTATATGCCCTGGGGTGGTATACCAGTTTACTTATTTAACACGGAAATTATCATAATGGCATTAATTACTATACTGTTTTAAGTTATTCTTCGTGTTATAACCAAGCGGGCCTCGTATTATAGGGCCTGAAAAGTTTAATAAATCGACAGGGCCCCCTCCCAACCCCGGCGATCCGGCTCGTCTTATTGCTTGTCGTTTAGGATTTTATTATGTTGTGTATAAAATTTCCATTGATAAAAATAATGTAAATTCGATTGTCGATCCGTTAGAAAGATAGAAAAATTTAATATTGACTTTTAAACATTCCTCTACAAACATTTTGTTATCTTCAGTATCAGTTTATTTAGCATATAATGTTGTCCACTGTCGGTATACTGAAAGGTCTTTTCATACTAGTGGATTTTTCCTGGGTGTATGTTTACCATATACACCTACACGTGTATACACACACACACACGTCCGAGTTCGCTAGTGTCAAGAGTGACGATCATCCAGTATATATATATATATATATATATATATAAGTCTGACAGGCCAAAATAAGTTTAAAAATTAACCAAAAGCTATGGAGACCCAGACAGAAATCCCAGTTAGCATGGTGACAATTAACATGTACAGTTATAATAAAAGTAGTCTGGAAGCAAAAACTGAAGGGGATAAAGGCAGGATAGCAAGGCAAGTTACACAGAATTATGGGTTTGAATTCCTCTGGCTTAATCTTTACTTCTAAACATTTTCAAATAATTTTATTAAGCTTCAAAATTAATTCCTAATCATTAAACTTAGTAAAAATGGTATCATAACTTCCTACATTCCAACCAAATACTATAATTTAATTAAAAATTAGCTTAATTTTAGCATGAAAATAATCTAGCATTTAGATACGTTTGACTATTAAATAAAAAAAACAGTTTATATTATTACAATATATACCAAATATTTTCCAAATACTATATACGATACGATATACACCAAATATTTTCTAATTTACTTGACAACAAATTATGCATTCTCAAAAATAATACCAAAATCAATCTCCGCTTTAAAATTTTAATTTGTAGAATCTCGAACTACTAACAAATATGGAATCTCAACACTTCAAGAAACCGTTAGACTATTTTTAATTAAAATATAAAATAAAGAGATTAAGGTAAAATCACAAATACTAGAAATGACAAAAATAAACAATTTATTTATTTTAATTCTAAAATAGATACATTGACAGGAAACAAAGATATAAGAACTTATTTATCAAAACAATTGCACAATATGTATTTATATTTTAGAAAATACAAAGAAAGCAGCACTTCCACAGCTTCCAGGACTGCACGCCACTGATTTTATCTACACGGGACCCAGGCAAATTTGAATTAGGGGATCCCACACACAGCATCGACTTCACTTTTCTTCAGGGGGAAATACCTTCTTATAAAAGATCAGTTTGGGGCCCCCTATTTGCGGAAGCCTCGGCAAATCACCCTTTTTTGCCCACAGGACAACACACCACCGCGTAAAATACACAAATGTAAATAAGCTGTCAGTTTCTATGCATCCAAATGTTATCTCATTCACTACACATGTATGATGACCTGTTAATTACCAATAACATAATCATGTCTGTAGAATGATAACAGTGCACAAATAATCATTTTATAAATACTTTTATACCAGATAATCATGATGTAATCTTTATTTAATGAACTTTGAACTAAGCAATTCCTCAGATGTAACAGATATTATTGAAATTCGTAGTTACTATAAACCTGTAAACGCTTATAATTTCGCCTTTGGTGGTTATTTTACTTTTGAAAAGTGCCGCTCGCTGGTTAATAACAGTTCAAAACCAATAACTGCCGCCCAATACATCAATATATAAATAAATATCAACATACCTTCGTATATGGCTTCTTTTTTCTCCGATCTATGATGTTTCTTGTGTTTTTTACTTCCCATTTTTAAAATTTACAGTAAAAAAGACAGAAATGGAAATCCCGAATCCTTTCTTTGTCTTTTTTTTTTTTTTCCTGTCAAATTCGGGGAATTATCGCTAGATGACGACACTAACGAATTTTATTAAAAATATTCATGTTCCATATTATATTTGTTCCTTTATAATGATAATTGGTAATATTATAAATAAAAGCGACTTAATTATTACCAATAAAAATTTTGTTTAACCTAAAACCTACGATTTTCTTTTAGACATGCCCGATAGTGCCAAAAGATAAAGTGCTTTGTTTTCGGACGTTGCCAACCCGACTGGTTTTTTTATTTTTGAAAATTTTCGTTGGAGAAATGTTAAGAATTTAGCAGAAAATTATTCGGTTTAAATATTATTTAAATAATATATATTTCCTAATGTGATATGCTTGCATTTTTATATATATATATATATACACACAGTATACTGTATATACTGGGTGAGTTTAATTAAAGTATTCCCATTCAATTAGACTGCTAAATAGTTCTTTAGAGCTATTTAGCAGTCCAAATGCAACTAAATTTGGTATGATAACATTTCAAGACATGCAAAAGACATTTCCACAAAAAAAATTAATATCAAAACTCACCACTATGTTACTTTTGGCAAGCAATAAATAACAGTTTTATTTGTGGAGACATTAAAATGTGGGGTTATCAAGGACATGTTGCAAACTTGGCAGTCTTGAAAGGCAGTATCACACTGCATGCAAGAAGCATCATAGAAGATCAATTAAAGTCAACCATCAAATACACTGTTCATTGCTGTCAGGTTTTACATCAGAAAGGAGACCACATTGAGCATTTCCAGAATTGCTCAGTTTTCTGTGAAACATGAATGTCTTATACAAGTGTTAGTTGCATATAGTGCCAAAAATGCCATAGTGGTGAATTTTGGTACTATCTCCTTTTTTACAGAAATGTCACCATACCAAATTTAGTTGCATTTGAACTGCTAAATATCTCTCCAGAAAGCAATGAATATGGGTACTTTAATTATGATCATCCAGTATATATATATATGTGCACAGAAGTGCCATTAATTATTGTTTCTGCGAGTTAATGTCTTTTTTTAACATTTTATTCAATTGATTTTTATATAAAAAAAGTTCGAATACAGTAGACTCCCTATAACGCGGGTTCCTACAACGCGAAATTCGTATAACGTGGAACGTATCTACCGCGTTATAGGGGATCTACTGTATCTTCATTTATTTCTTTATTTTCTTACGTGAAGCACAAATTTGGTATTATCTTTCGAAGATTTTAATTCTTCTAGAAGCAGCAATGCCTGTAGAATTGGGTAATAAAAAAGCAAATTTTATTTTTATTCACTTTTTTTTTTGTTTTTAAATTAAAACTGCCTCTGAGATTTATTTACTTCATATGTATATTTATTTACTTCATATGTATATGAAGTATATGTATACTGTATAGCCTGAAAATGCGTAATGGGAAAGTTGCATCGATGCATTAAAACCATAGAGATATAAAGGATATTATTTAGAATATCATATTTAGAACATGATGACCCTAATAGAAATTTATTCGGATGAACAGAGTGAGAGAAACACAGGAATGGTCGACATAACTAGCTGTATTATCGGCTGAATAGAAAAGTTCGACGATATTAGAAGTCGATTTACGTAATTTTTCGCTCTTTAAAATTGTATTTAATTCGTATTTGTATTTATGTCAGAATAGTTTTCATTTTCTGTCTATAATAAATAATCGCATATAAAATATTATGCAAAACTTTATTTCATTTCTATCGCCACGTATTTATAAAAAAAGGGCCCAGGGCCCACAATAGGGGCAGCCGGGTGCTGAGGGACGGGNTACGATCATCCAGTATATATATATATATATATATATATATAAGTCTGACAGGCCAAAATAAGTTTAAAAATTAACCAAAAGCTATGGAGACCCAGACAGAAATCCCAGTTAGCATGGTGACAATTAACATGTACAGTTATAATAAAAGTAGTCTGGAAGCAAAAACTGAAGGGGATAAAGGCAGGATAGCAAGGCAAGTTACACAGAATTATGGGTTTGAATTCCTCTGGCTTAATCTTTACTTCTAAACATTTTCAAATAATTTTATTAAGCTTCAAAATTAATTCCTAATCATTAAACTTAGTAAAAATGGTATCATAACTTCCTACATTCCAACCAAATACTATAATTTAATTAAAAATTAGCTTAATTTTAGCATGAAAATAATCTAGCATTTAGATACGTTTGACTATTAAATAAAAAAAACAGTTTATATTATTACAATATATACCAAATATTTTCCAAATACTATATACGATACGATATACACCAAATATTTTCTAATTTACTTGACAACAAATTATGCATTCTCAAAAATAATACCAAAATCAATCTCCGCTTTAAAATTTTAATTTGTAGAATCTCGAACTACTAACAAATATGGAATCTCAACACTTCAAGAAACCGTTAGACTATTTTTAATTAAAATATAAAATAAAGAGATTAAGGTAAAATCACAAATACTAGAAATGACAAAAATAAACAATTTATTTATTTTAATTCTAAAATAGATACATTGACAGGAAACAAAGATATAAGAACTTATTTATCAAAACAATTGCACAATATGTATTTATATTTTAGAAAATACAAAGAAAGCAGCACTTCCACAGCTTCCAGGACTGCACGCCACTGATTTTATCTACACGGGACCCAGGCAAATTTGAATTAGGGGATCCCACACACAGCATCGACTTCACTTTTCTTCAGGGGGAAATACCTTCTTATAAAAGATCAGTTTGGGGCCCCCTATTTGCGGAAGCCTCGGCAAATCACCCTTTTTTGCCCACAGGACAACACACCACCGCGTAAAATACACAAATGTAAATAAGCTGTCAGTTTCTATGCATCCAAATGTTATCTCATTCACTACACATGTATGATGACCTGTTAATTACCAATAACATAATCATGTCTGTAGAATGATAACAGTGCACAAATAATCATTTTATAAATACTTTTATACCAGATAATCATGATGTAATCTTTATTTAATGAACTTTGAACTAAGCAATTCCTCAGATGTAACAGATATTATTGAAATTCGTAGTTACTATAAACCTGTAAACGCTTATAATTTCGCCTTTGGTGGTTATTTTACTTTTGAAAAGTGCCGCTCGCTGGTTAATAACAGTTCAAAACCAATAACTGCCGCCCAATACATCAATATATAAATAAATATCAACATACCTTCGTATATGGCTTCTTTTTTCTCCGATCTATGATGTTTCTTGTGTTTTTTACTTCCCATTTTTAAAATTTACAGTAAAAAAGACAGAAATGGAAATCCCGAATCCTTTCTTTGTCTTTTTTTTTTTTTTCCTGTCAAATTCGGGGAATTATCGCTAGATGACGACACTAACGAATTTTATTAAAAATATTCATGTTCCATATTATATTTGTTCCTTTATAATGATAATTGGTAATATTATAAATAAAAGCGACTTAATTATTACCAATAAAAATTTTGTTTAACCTAAAACCTACGATTTTCTTTTAGACATGCCCGATAGTGCCAAAAGATAAAGTGCTTTGTTTTCGGACGTTGCCAACCCGACTGGTTTTTTTATTTTTGAAAATTTTCGTTGGAGAAATGTTAAGAATTTAGCAGAAAATTATTCGGTTTAAATATTATTTAAATAATATATATTTCCTAATGTGATATGCTTGCATTTTTGTGAAAAATATCTAAACAATAATTTAAATTTTATCAATTTTTAAAGTTTTCGGAAATGGATTAGAAGTAGACAATGCACATATGATATAACTTTGTAATACTTTAAAAAATTGAATTAATATTGTTTAGTTATTCAAACATTAGAAAGAGATGCACTCTAAATCTTAATTATTTAATTTATAAACGTCGCATTAATATCCCAAAAATATTTTAACAGAATTCATTTTAATGTAAATTATCAGAAGCACATCAGTAACTGAATGAATAAAACCATTGAATATTGGTCATTGTCCAGGGATAGCGCTTCACCGATGGGCTAGCAACAAGGATTTTCCGCGTTTTCTTCATAATGCGGGCCATTTTCCCACACAAATCTTATCGGGACGCAGTGTCGTAGCGAACATAACTGGCGCCTGGAACACGACACTTTATTGGCGCTTCCTCCCCTCTCCAGAAACACATATAGTTTGTCTTGGAGACCATTTGGGCGCCCCTCTGCGAGTGGCAACAGGTGCATGATACACCCCCTTGCACCTCCTCGCTACGCCATTGTATATTCGAATATTAGTGGCGGAGTAGCGGAGTGGAAACGCTGTATTGTCAGCATCCAAAAAGCCAGATTCNCAAGACATAGCCAAAGATTGCAGTGCCACAGCACTGGTGAAAATTTAAATTTGCCGACTGGAATTCTTTCAGATGATTGACTTTCGGATAATTTACGCTCTACTGTATGAAGGAAACTATTCTCTTAATTAATTACATGAAATAAATACTATATTTTAGCTAATTAATCATAATGTAATCAATTTATTTACTCATTGAAAGCTGAGAATAGCCATAGCATAATCAAAAACTTTCCTAAAAAAATTTTGGTTTCTTGAATAGCAGTTCGGTCATTTAAATAATTTATTTAATACTAGTTGATATGCCTAGCAATGTTCAGGTATCTTACTTCCAAAAACAACAGATTCAAAGATGATATGTGCTACCAAAATGTACCCTCTAGTACCAAATTGTTTCATAATTTATTAGTATTATAGCTGTTATCTAGCCTGATGACTTATGGCATTGGTTGGCTTGTAGTTTTATAATTATCCGATTTTAGTGATGTTGTTTATTTATGATATGTGCTCTTGTTATTTGACAATTGTATACACTGAATATTTACTTCTATCATAATGCCAACAAACTTTGTTTTTCTTTTGATCCTATCTTAATACAATACATTTTGTTTTATTTACATATCTTTGTATATCTTTGTTGTTCCATTGTATTTTACAGAAATATTTGCAAAGGTTAAAAATTTTACTCAAGTATTAAAATTTTTATTATATTGTCTATGTTGGACAGTATATTAATAGGACTTAATATACTTCTATATAAGTCCTATTGATATACTAAATCCAATGTAGACACTGATATAATAATATGGTAAGGACATAGAGGCAAAAGAATTAATATTTTACTCAAGTATTTCTTATTAGAACAATCTGTAACAAAACAATTTAAAGTTATATATTTCAAGAAACAATAATTATACTTCAAACTAACATCAAAAGAAAATATATTTTCTAAATATTCTACAGATTCTGATTTTATAATAAATTTTGGGACAGAACTAAAGTTTAAATCTTTTTATAAAGACAATCTATGAAATTTAATTTTAGAAAAACTAAAAGCTTTATTAAATGAGAATTATTTTATGTTTTATACATTCATAAATGAAAACATATTTCTCCAAATTGTGTGTATTTTCCTTTAGATGTGTGGCTAACCAAATACTGGTTGTTCAGCTATACTTTATGTCATCACTTCCAGATATTGTTTCTAAAAAAATACTTTATCCATTAGCAAACAATAGTATACTAATTAATAACCTATTAGTTTCTTTGACCAAGATACTAAATTACTCAATCAACTGTTTCTGTTAAGATAAAACCAGAAGACAAGTGGGCATGAAAATACTTTCTGTTGATATGCTAATGTTGATAAAAACTCTTAATGTTATAGAAAAAATAAACAAACATTGAAGAAAAACCAAAAGAAATCTACATGTAAATTTAATATATATTTCTGATTAAATATAATTACTTAAGATAAACTAATTACTAAACCATGTAATGTTTATGATCATAAGTCTTTATTGCTTATATTAACTTCAAATAATCAAAATTAAAAATTACTCATTTTAATTCAATTAGAATTTTTATACTATAAAATTACAATATTTCTGATTGAAGAAATTTTTTCGTTGGGAGTAAGCATAAGATTGCTTGAGAGAATGAATCACACAGAAAGACACAATGAAAATAGATATACAGGACTTCATTGTGATCCTGTTTGATTTGTTCTCTTAAGCAATCTTATTCTTATTCCTAATAATTAAAACAAGAATAAGAGCAATTAAGTACAAATTTTTTTTACATAATTTAGACTTAATTTTTATCACAATATCTTCAAATCATTTTTATCAACTCATTAAGATAAATTATTAATGCATCTTTACTATCTTATAATCAAACTAAATCACTATACTAAATTTTTCTAGTTTGTCTATGGTATGACCATTGTTGATCTAAACTAGTGGTGAACAATATTTCTGGATGAGGGCCACATATGAACTTTGTAGGCTTTTGGTAAGCCACACATACTTTTTCTTATGGAGTTTCGGGCTTTAAGCCTACTGAGTACCAACACAATCCATAACCACCAGTAGGACTAGGTATTAAAATATTTACACTGATGATATGCAAATGAGTAATATATAGTTTATTCTAATCTTTTTACTAGTCTAGTTTAGTATGAATGTTTTTTGCCACATACATTGGCTCAAACAAAGTTACAGAAAACAAGAAAATAAAATTACGATGTCAAAGCTTTGGACACTGGATATAGCATACAGATTGCAAGTTGCTCATCACTGTTCTAAACAGCGTAAAGAAAATATTTTTAATATCACTCATGATAACAATTTATTAAATTTATCATTAAGATTGAAATAGCTTTATTAATAATTCATCATTTATTGGACATCACCAAAGTCATCAATATTAAAGCCATTCATAACATTGATATCATTACAATATGTAAAACAGTAAAATTTTGTTTTTTTATATAAATCTCTCAAATTTAAAGTTTATTTTCATTATCTATATCAGAATTGTTTAAAAAGTAAATAAACCATACATTTTATGATCTAATTCTTCATTTTTATAAAACTTAAATCCACATAAGATTAAAGATCTTGCTAAAAGAATCAATTTTGAAAATTATTAATAGTAACTGAAAATGAAAATATTTAAATATAATGTTAAAATGTTATAGCATATATGAAAAATAAAATGACTAAATTAAAAAAAAACATATATTCTAAAATGTTACCTGATTCTAGCATGGTAACTAATGATTCAAATACATCCAAAATAAACCTCCTAAATTACAAATTCTCATAAGTTGATATATAGTCAGAGAAGTTGTCTTTCCATCAGCAGTTACCTTTTGTATCTAACACCTGTTCTATCCCACAACAGAACAAAATGATGTTGAAATTCAGAACAGGTGTCAAATTTAGACAGTAGCTTATGATGGTGACATAATTAAAACAGTTTTGATTAAAAAAAAGCTAACTTTCAGCAATTATTTTTTGATGTGTGATTAATATTTCATTCAAGTTCTTGTGTTCAGAATTTTTAATATTAATACATGTATATTGAAATATGAAAATCAAATTTTTCCAATTAAAAAGTATTTTTAATTTTATTTTAATTGTTTTATTAAATATATTGTATATTTTCAAAAAGAAAAAATAAATAGTTTTTAAAATTATGAAATTAATTTATGGCAATTTGAAACATTTCATATATACATCCATTCAGTATAATTAATCTTGATTCATGATACTTTTGACAATGTTTTCAAATGATCTGCAATAACAGCAAATGTATTTTTAGTACTCGTTTATGAATACAATGATGAATTAAAAGTTTACTTACGTAGATGTTATAGAAGTTCCTGGAATGTAGAAAGGATTGCACACCATGTCTGTGTAGGCACCATGAAGCCTGCGAAACATCTAAAGACGTAAAAACAAATTATTTAAAGCTAAAATTTTATTTAATGTTAAAAGTATTAAAAAATTTAAACTTTTGAAAGAATCTGCACATACTTGACGTATCTCATTATCTCTTAAGGTAATATGAGATGATTCTATTATGATCACAAACTTTATCTTTGTATTTGTTACATATCCATAGCTGAAATATGTAAATTAGAAAATGAAAAATTAACTTGAAAAATAAACAACACCGATATAAATCCAGCAAAATTTAATAAAATAAAAACGTTTTCAATCGTTTTTCAATGATCATCCTCAGTTACCTAGATAGAAAATTAAATATAGAACATAAAATGTGTTCGAAATAAATACAAAAAATGAAAATTAACGGAAAATTTTTCATTAATACGTCCGCCAGGACGTATTAATGAAAAATTAATAAATAAACCAAATAAATAGTGAAAATTAATAATTGTAGAAGGATCTCCACGCAGTAGATAATGAGTCGGCGTCTCTATGGTTTATACAACCAGTTTTCATGTGCGTTTTATAGATTTCCAATCTCTCTAGATGTTTGATCATTTGCCTATTATTCGTCATTTTTATAATTGTCGCTTGATCCCATTGTACGTTAATATCTTGTTGTTTTGTGTATGATGCCAACACAGTGTTATCCAGGTTCCTATTGATTGTATATTTGTGTTCCTTGAGCCTTTGCTTTAGACTGCGCATCATTGCACCCACGTAAACCAGCCTGGAATCGAATCATTGGTCATGTAAAGGCACCGAATATATACCCGTTGTTGAATTCCGATCCTCCTCCTTTTTATCATTTCTTAAAAGTTTGAAAATAGTGGGATTGCACCGGTATACAATGTGAAAGTTATTAGACTTGGCAGTAGATTTGTGTATCTTGTTTAAAAATGGGATGTAATTAAGCACTACAGTAGAGCGTCGATTTTCCGAATCAATTGGGGACTGGGGTTGGCCGGATAACTGATATTTCGGATAACTAATTTGCATACGAAAAAATAGTTTAATGTATCCGATTTTGAAATTTTTCTCCGTTGCGTGTCGCTTTGCGTTGAATTTTCGTCGATGTTAAGCCTAACAAAGACTATTGTATCGTTAAAAATTATTTTTTTATTTTGTACAAACAAAATAAATATATTGAAAAACATAAAAATAATAAAAAAATATACTTCAGANCTAGTGTCAAGAGTGACGATCATCCAGTATATATATATATATATATATATATATAAGTCTGACAGGCCAAAATAAGTTTAAAAATTAACCAAAAGCTATGGAGACCCAGACAGAAATCCCAGTTAGCATGGTGACAATTAACATGTACAGTTATAATAAAAGTAGTCTGGAAGCAAAAACTGAAGGGGATAAAGGCAGGATAGCAAGGCAAGTTACACAGAATTATGGGTTTGAATTCCTCTGGCTTAATCTTTACTTCTAAACATTTTCAAATAATTTTATTAAGCTTCAAAATTAATTCCTAATCATTAAACTTAGTAAAAATGGTATCATAACTTCCTACATTCCAACCAAATACTATAATTTAATTAAAAATTAGCTTAATTTTAGCATGAAAATAATCTAGCATTTAGATACGTTTGACTATTAAATAAAAAAAACAGTTTATATTATTACAATATATACCAAATATTTTCCAAATACTATATACGATACGATATACACCAAATATTTTCTAATTTACTTGACAACAAATTATGCATTCTCAAAAATAATACCAAAATCAATCTCCGCTTTAAAATTTTAATTTGTAGAATCTCGAACTACTAACAAATATGGAATCTCAACACTTCAAGAAACCGTTAGACTATTTTTAATTAAAATATAAAATAAAGAGATTAAGGTAAAATCACAAATACTAGAAATGACAAAAATAAACAATTTATTTATTTTAATTCTAAAATAGATACATTGACAGGAAACAAAGATATAAGAACTTATTTATCAAAACAATTGCACAATATGTATTTATATTTTAGAAAATACAAAGAAAGCAGCACTTCCACAGCTTCCAGGACTGCACGCCACTGATTTTATCTACACGGGACCCAGGCAAATTTGAATTAGGGGATCCCACACACAGCATCGACTTCACTTTTCTTCAGGGGGAAATACCTTCTTATAAAAGATCAGTTTGGGGCCCCCTATTTGCGGAAGCCTCGGCAAATCACCCTTTTTTGCCCACAGGACAACACACCACCGCGTAAAATACACAAATGTAAATAAGCTGTCAGTTTCTATGCATCCAAATGTTATCTCATTCACTACACATGTATGATGACCTGTTAATTACCAATAACATAATCATGTCTGTAGAATGATAACAGTGCACAAATAATCATTTTATAAATACTTTTATACCAGATAATCATGATGTAATCTTTATTTAATGAACTTTGAACTAAGCAATTCCTCAGATGTAACAGATATTATTGAAATTCGTAGTTACTATAAACCTGTAAACGCTTATAATTTCGCCTTTGGTGGTTATTTTACTTTTGAAAAGTGCCGCTCGCTGGTTAATAACAGTTCAAAACCAATAACTGCCGCCCAATACATCAATATATAAATAAATATCAACATACCTTCGTATATGGCTTCTTTTTTCTCCGATCTATGATGTTTCTTGTGTTTTTTACTTCCCATTTTTAAAATTTACAGTAAAAAAGACAGAAATGGAAATCCCGAATCCTTTCTTTGTCTTTTTTTTTTT